AACCAAGCTCGCATGCAGACAGTGTGTAAATGTTTAGTCTGATGTGTTTTACTGTCCCGCTCCTCTTCCACACTTAGCGGAGCGGCTGACATGCTTGTTTTGCTACTGCCCCCCCCCCTCCCCCCTAAACCACCCGTCTCTTCCTGAGGCCATTCCACACAGAGTAGCAAAACAAATTACTTCAGAGCTTTGCTGTGTGCTCTCTGCTGCACACAGACGTAGGACAAGCCACAGTGTTCGCTCCTCAAACACGTTGGATTGGATTGTAGGATCAAGAGAGGAGTTAAGAACGTACATTAGGAACAGGGGTGGAGTCCATCTTCATTGGCTGTAATGGTGCTACAGATACCAATGACAAACCGCTGGCCTTTCATCAAACTAGTTATACAAATAACTGCTAGATGGAAGACTAACTGTTCATCCTAATACCGCATTGGTGCAAAGCTGTCATCAAGGCAAAGGGTGGCTACTTTGAAGAATCTCAAATATATTTTGATTTGTTTAACACTTTTGTGGTTACGACATGATTCCATATGTGTTATTTCATAGTTTTGATGTCTTCACTATTATTCTACAATGTAAAAAAAAAGAAGAAAAAAAAACCCTGGAATGAGTAGGTGTGTCCAAACTTTTGACTGGTAATGTAGATGTCCAAATTGGGCAACATCCTTGATAAATCAATCTACTATATAATCTATAGTCATTATTACTTTTTAAAGCTGTGGAACATAAAAAGGGAGAATTCTCTAGAGCGAGACACTAACGGTTTGGGATTTTATCGGTGTTGGCCGGGGACTTGAGTGGCTGGTTTCACACTCGGGCCCACAGAGGGGTTGGATGTGTTCACAGTGCACCCGCTCCTACTGCCCAGTTAGACTTGGCACGACTACTGTTACATGTGCCACAATTTCACATACTGTTAGCCGGGCTCATTCTGTCTGTAATATACTATTATAGGGTTTTACTTGGCAGTAGGGGACACACTTCACCCCACTGTCCAAACTAAACAGAACAACATTACTAGAGAGGACAGATGACTTTGGCAGAGTGCTAAGTGATGGAAATTAGATGTCAGTGTCTCTGTGTGTCTCCCATTCCGTTTCATTCTGGGTTGTCCTGACTAACCTCCATGATAGGTCCAAGGTTTACACGGATGTCAGATATACACCACACCGCCTCCTTGTGGTAGAACCAGAGATTACAACTAGAGTCCACGTGAAGTCTAGAGGAAGCCGGGCAGACAAAAACAGATCATTCAGGTTTTATAAAAACAGATATCAATATGGATGTGGTTTGTTTCTAGACTTATGTTTATATTTATCTTTTAGTATCAATATAATTTCACTGAAAATACATCCGAATAGAGACGCAGAATAAAGTACTGTGCTGTTGGAGACAGAGTCGTTTTCTGTTTTCCTGTGGCAGAGACAACACAGGTAAAGTGGTAATTTAAAAGTGTTTAAACCCAGGGAAAGTTTCCACCTACCGCAGAGAGAAAGACATGAGCAATTTGTGGATAATTCTCTGCCCACAGCTTCTTGGCCTGGGATCTCCACGGTCTGCTTGGACTCGGTCTATAAACACGATCTGGTTCTTTGACTTGACGTGTTTGAGGTAAAGCACTCATACCCAGACAGCTTCTGAACAATGGCTGGCCCTGCATTAGCAAATATTAGTCCAAATATTTCAAAGTACTTTAAAAAAGGCCATATGAAACATTTCAGGGAAGTATTAAACTGTTTTGAACAACAGCATCCATTTCACAGATTCCACATTTCACACCAGATTAGCGTCACCTCGTACCAAAGCATACTGGGTTTGAATATGTGGAATCAGGCACTGACTATCTCAGGTTAATGAAATGTGCCTCAGCTCAACCTAGCTGAACAGCCCAAAACAAGCTAGCGAGTGTCTGTAGATGGGGATATTGATCCAAACAGACTACAGTACATATACCCCTGCCATATTCAGACCATGGACTCATGCACAACCATCTTTTATGACCTTCACTCTTTACAGAGCAACCATCTGGTCTGAGAGGCCTGGTCCCATGGTCCTTTATCTGGGCATGGACAGAGAACAGGGGAGGGGGTTCATGGAGGTAGATCCACCACTCCCTTCCAAAGGCCAGAGTTGAGTTAGCTCAGCTCAGGGCTCACAGACAGAGGGTAATAGATCACTTAGCCTGGCCACTACAAAGGCTTGTTGAGACAGACGACTCCAGAACAAGCCGACTAGGCAGCGCAGCTGTCTAGTAAAGATGTCATATGAAACACTGGGGGGCTGGAGCCAGAGGAGGAAAGTTAAACTAACAGGTCGAGTTTTAGAGACGCTGATTGAACCCTGCAGAGCCAGATTGCACGTTGCACCTTCACCCCCCCGAACAATGCCACTACTGCAGACGCTGTGCAACAGTATGTGAAATTACTATGCTAATTAGCATTACAGTGTAAGGGGGAGGAATGGATCTGGCTGGGACAGTAACGAGCAAAAGTTTGTCAGCCTGCCTGTATCAGCTTACAACGTTTATACACAGCAGTCCTTATGAGTCTTTCAACAGATCAAATCAGGCCCGATTGACAGATGTCGACACCGGTTGCAAATAACCATCCATCATTGTCATGATGTCATCTGCGACACATTCCATTTTGAAATAAACAAAAGGTACTGTAGCAGAAAGAAAAATGCATTTTAGTACGAGAGCAGCAGGGACTCCTTTGCGTCACTCTCTGGGACGACGACCAGACACTAAAGATATAAGCCTGGTTCTTGTCAAAGCTGCATCCTGTCCCTCTCAACTTTGATCTGCTGGCACAGAGCACAGAGACACCAGAGGGTGGCATGTTGGTTCTTGTCTAGACTAGGGACTGCAGAGGACAGGCCTGCTGGATGATGAATAGGGCATCTGTGTTTACCCCGGTGAGCTCTTCTGTAGAGAGAACTACCAGTCAATCCACCCAGAGCAAACTGTACAGCCAACACTACTCTGAATACAAGGCCAGATACCAGTAATCGGTCTCCTTTCACACTGTAAGCAGTAGAGCCAAAAAGGACTACTTGATATACAGTACCAGAAATACAGTAAGTCAGTCCATGGAGGGCCCTGACCCACTTCAACATATACTGTATGTACTGAGGGAACCATTCAATCAAATCTGCACTACAGAAAAATTCTGCATGGGGAAACAATGCATGCTTACACAAAAATGTGATTTGAATTCTATTTAACCTCACTGTGTAAATGACTCACTGTGCAGTTTACTGAAAATGCATGTCCGTGTGGCACAGCACAGATAGCATTACATCCCAGAGCTTGAGATCAAGACAGGAGAGCAGAGGAGTGAGTAAGAGGGAGAACCTTCACGCCGGATAAAGAATAAGAAAAGTGTTGTTTCAGATGACTGACTGTGGAATACTGCAGTGTGGCAGGAAACAGTCAGGACAAGTCTTGGAAACGTCGACAGCATTTCAACATCATTTCTCTGTTAACAATATGGCAGCCATCTCGCTCCTCGCCTCAGCTCCCTTGTCTGGTAGCCAAGAATAACTGGGAGTTCTGGGTAATTCTGCTGTTCACCACCCATTTCCTACTGTTCCCTCTCCACTGGGCCGAGCTGCTGTACATCCGATGAGTGCTTGTGTGTTCTCAAGCTTCTTAAGAGTGACATCAACATGAGAAAATGTGTGTAAGATGCCCATTGGCTACAGGGTCACTGAGGATATCTGAACACTTGTCTCGCCAATAGGCCAAGGTTATGACTCAGTGTTACAATCATATGTACCTGGAAACATCCGTTTCCTTCATACTAAAACTCATCCAGGGCTTGACTAGACTGTCGCTAACTCACCACACAGAAAGACATGCATCAGCAGAAATATCCCTGGCCTGCACTGTAGAAATTCTACCGTTCTCAACTATACACACCAATTACACTAACATATCCAGCATTGTCAGATTCCAAAGTGTCCACTAGAGGGCTCTATTATTCTATATCTGAAAACACTGGTCTAACAGAAATCCATTTCTAGAAGATTCTATTCCAGTAATAATAGCATGTCTATTCAGCAATATATCTGATCAAAAGGTACAAGTAGATGAATCTGTACACTGAGCAAAACAAAGTTAGAAAGAAATCAAATGAAAAGGAGAATACAATTTTATTCAAAATGTCTTAAGATTACACAACAATTGTACAACAGTATGTAAAAATATTTTTTTAAAGCTGGAATCCACAGGGATGCTGGCACATGTTGACTCCAATGCTTCCCACAGTTGTGTCAAATTGACTATGCCCTTTCGGTGGTGGACCATTTTGGATATACACAGGAAACTGTTCAACGTGAAAAACCCAGCAGAGTAGCAGTTCTTGACACAAACCGGTGTGCCTGGCACCTACTATCATACCCCGTTCTTTTGTCTTGTCCATTCCCCTCTGAATGGCACACATACACAATTCATGTCTCAAGGTTTACTATTTTTTTAAATAATCTGTCTCCTCCCCTTTATCTACACTGATTGAAGTGGCTTTCACAAGTGACATCAATAAGGGATCATAGCTTTCACCTGGTCAGTTTGTCATGGGAAGAGCTTCTTAATGTTTTGTACACTGTGTTACCTACCCTGTCCACTTTATCAGCACACTGTAGTCTATAGACAACGTACCAAAACCAGGTGGGGCAAGCATGCTATTTATTGCAGTTTGTGTGACAAAACCATCCATAGAGTTGAAAATGCTATGGAAACACATTCAACTTCTGTTATTTTATTCTGTACATAAAAACTTAAGCGTAAAAGTGTTTTTATGTGCACTGTCATCACGCACAACATGTTATCCTCTAAAAAGTCAGTTTGATGGAAACACGTCCGGTGGGAAAATACATATATTGTTTCTGTGTGAACTTTAGAACATTTGCAAGAAAATCTGTCGCCAATTGGATGGAAACCTAACTGCAGTACCAAACAAGCAGTAAAACAAACTCCTTAAACCTCCAAAGTTTCAGTTTTCTCCATGTGAAATGCTTGCTTTGACAGGGTGAGTTTTCCTCAAAACAGGCTTACTCTCAACGCAGCTCCTCTTAGTCGCTATCCTCTTGGATCGTCTGAGACCACAGGCCATATGTGACTCTCCAACCGTGGTAGGTGTATTTTCAGCTTTCATTCGGACATGAGAAGCCTGTTGGGGAATTGTTTCCCCACCATTCCTTTTTGCCTTGGGAGCCTTTGCTTGGCTTGGGGCGACTTGCAATGCCTCCTGGGGACCCGCGTCTTCCTCTTTTTCTGTGTCTTTCAAAGTTTCCATCTTGCCTTGAATGGCTAGCAAAGACTCCTGTTAAGTCACAAGGAAGTGGCTCATGGAATCTCTTTTGAGGAAGTACAAATAATTTTTCAATGAGACTAAAAATGTATTCTTTCATTCCCAACACCTCGGACACACCACAAGGTCAGCCACGGAGCTTATTCAATCACATACACACTTACCTCTGCTCCAGCCAGTTGGGATTTGAGCTCTGATAGTTCCTTCATGAGATGCTTGATGTTCGCCTTAATAGAGAGATGAAATGGTTCTTATCAGTTATACATATCCAGAAAGAACTGGGCTGTGACCATACAGTACTGCTGGTGATTCATGGTATCACTAAAAATGACATGGCAACAAGTGTTGAACACATAGCACCTTCTTCTTGAAGATTTCTTTGTTCTGATTCTCAATCTCCTGTTGTCTTTTCTCCTCTTTCTCTCTGAAATAAGAAAAATAAATATGAATATAAAAGCCAGAACTCCTGTTTCTGTAAACATCAATAAACAGCACACTGGCCATGTCTTCCATGGGTCATATTCATTAAGGCACACTGTAGCAAAATGTTTTGCATCAGAAGAAAAATGAGTGCTTCTTATTGTAAGTCCCTGCCTGTTTTCCAGTCAGGCTTCTTCCATTTGGTGCCTAATAAATATGATCCTGGCCACTGCAGTGACATGGAGCTAGCTAGCTACCTGAGCTCCAGGCCTCTGGCCACTCTGTCCTCTAGCTCACTGATCTCAGCTTGTTCCTCCTCTACAGCTTGCTGGACATCAGCAGTCTTTATCTGGGCCAGGAGGGACTTGGAGTCCAGGGCCTCTACCTCAGGTGAGCTCAGCCTCCTGGAGAGGAACACTCGCCCCATATGAACAGTCTGCTCACAGGACAGAATCTGAAACGTGATGTCCAACAGAATAGAATTGTCAGAGAATGTGTCGACATATTCACAAACATGTCTGTATACATAAATGAGAAGATATAGCACAGTAAAGCTAAGAGGCAGTGTTAACAAGGTCATGACAACTTCAGAGGTTGGCAACGTGACATTCAGCATAGTACAGTATCTACGTTTACATTTTAGTTATTTAGCAAATGCTCTTATCCAGAGCGACTTACAGTTAGTGAGTGCATACATTTTCATACTTTCATATCTACTAGGGGTGTGAACGTTTAAACGAAAAAAATCCATAACGACAAAACCTTTTTTTCTTTTGACAAAATAGTGTAGTTATCACATAACTACCACTAACAGGTCCTGACCATCATCATCGGAAAAATACAAATGTAACAAATACCTAACGCAACAATGCTGTAAGGATATTAGGAGGAGATATGAATCTTTCAAATTATTTGTCACGAATATATAGCGCTCCGTATGTCATCGTCGTTAACAGTAGATTGAACTGCATTGCCCCCTAGTGGTCATACCATTGGTTTATATATATACACATCATTGGTCATACGCAGCATCATATCTGAATTGTGAATTCACATCATTTTTTCTTCTTTTTTTTCTTAGCATATAAACATAACGGCAGTTTAAATGTTAAGAACAATTGTACATTTGTCACATCCCTAGTAGCTACAGTACTGTACAGTAACACGTTTCACCTCGTCAAGGTCAGCTAGGATCTTCTCTCTGGAGGCCAAGGACAGATCCCTGGCCAGCATCTGGTTCCGTCGCTGCCTCAGTAACTTATCCAGCTCTCTCTGCATAGGAAACACATTGACAGCCTTGAACATCACATATTATTCAACTACATCAAGTAAGCCCTACTGGGGTGTATTCACTAGGAACCAAACCTATCTGAATTTGTCCAATAGAAACTTGTTTTCACTGCAAAACATTTGTTGCAAATTGAACCAAACTGGAGAAGACTCAAAACGGAACGAAACCTACCTGAATGTCCAATAAAAACTGTTTTCATTGCAAAACGTTCTGTTGCAAAAACGTTTTGCTATGTGTGTGACTAATGAATACACCCCAGGTGATTGAGGGAATATTGACCGTAGCTTTAAAATGTGTGATCAAAGCAGCACAAAATGGCTGTGTTAATTTCAATTTGAGGTACCATGAGCATCAGTCATTAAAATAATCAAGTGGGGGTTTTCACCATCAGATATATGGATTTTCACCTGTAAGGTGTTGATCTGCCTCTCCTGCTTAGCTCGCTTGAGGAATGCCAGGTCTGCCGGGGTAACCTCATAGCCCTGCATGCCTCTTATCAATGAGTAGGGGTCCTCTTCCAGCACACTGCCTGAACAGACTGAACATGTACGTTGATAACATTAGGTGGATTGTGCTAATAATATTTTTCATTACAAGCTTGTGCACCATCATACACCAAAGCATTTAACATTCAGATTTATAGACCTACAGTAGGATCATGTGACATAGGACTACATTAAAATAGACAAGAATGGAACTTTAATGAAATGTGTGTTCAGAGGAGTCATGGCCACAGGGTCACTTGTTTCTCTGTAATACTACTAGCCACCTAGCCATTTTATGCAGTTGGCTTTAGCCCAGAAGGGTTCTCAATCTACCAACCTCATAACTAGCTACCAAGAAGCCATTTCAGGCTACCAATCAAGTTAGAGTAGCTAGCTTGTCTAACTATCTTAGCATTTCACGGTCAAGTCTAAACCCATTGTATTCGGCAGATGTGACAAATACAATTTGATTTGGCATGTCTGCTGGCAAGGTTGGTTTCAAGCTATTACTAAATGAACTGAATAAGAATCACACTCCTTTAAATATTTTACCCAGATCTTAGCAGATATGCAGAGAAGCATATTTTGTTTCTTTAAAAAAAGAACCAACAGTCAGGAGGATACAGACAGCTCAAGAGGTATGATTAGATATGCAGAAAAATAAACATTTTGTACATGGAATTAAGCATAATGGTTATGGCTCTAAATTGCAGGAAAAAGCAATTTCAGGTGTTCGAAAAATGCTAAATTCTCCCCACATGCAGATGGAGCCTAGCCCCCCTTCCAGACCACCCTGCCATCCTCATGTACTTTGTGCCCCCTCAGATTTTACGGGTGCACG